ATAAACAGACTAAATCAAGTCGAGTCTGCAACATTTTAACTTTTACTGTTGTGCACGTTCTTTGGGTTGCTTATTTCTCTATTTCAATGTCCTTAATATTTATGTATCATAATTATAGTGCTTGAGGACATGCTACACTAAACATTCGATATAATGTTAGGTTTTGCACCTTATATATCTTCTTTTCCTATGTAATTGTTGTTTCTAATCAGGAATACATGTTAAGAGTTGATTTTTATCAATCTTTTTGCAGAAAGTTAAAGAAATGACCAAAATGCTCTGACAGGTGCAAGCCACCTCAATTCCACGTACTGTCAAGACCCACATGTGTGAGCGTCAAATCATTTATTTCTGGACTGTCAGACAATATCGGCCTTTACCAATAGAAATGCAACATAATATATATTCATATTTATAATATCTTGTCATTATACAAATTATATAATATGTAATATTATATAATATTTAATCGTTATGTTTAAGTAAAAGTTTTGCAGAACTTCATATCATGTGGCAGATAATCAAGTATATACCACGCTCATCTTTGAGTAAAATATTGTAACTGCAGAAATTTATTGAAATCCATAAAATTCGTACTGAATATTTCTTTAAAAAAACAACTACAATGTGTTTTTTTTAATGAGACTATATATTCATTAAAGTGTGAAAGTTTAAAAGTAATAGAAAGAGCACCGAAACACGAGGCTATCTGATTTGTACGAGGGGGCGTAGCCCCCGAGTATTAATCAGATTGCCGAGTGTTTTGGTGTTCTTTCTCTTTTGTATCATAGTCAAACATAAAACACGTTCCCTGTTGTGACAATATGAAACCCCGGCAAAAATGAACCAATGAACGAACATCTGAATATGATGTTTCTGTCGCTTTCCCTTTCTCTGCCGTCGACACAATATGTAAACCCCAGCAAAAATGAGCCAATCAATGGACATGCTTTTGAGTGCGGGTAACTAATACCCGCACTCCAGTTAACGCACTGTGCATGTATATGTATACGATTTAACCCTGACACATTTTCAACAGAAAGGTCTCCAAACTATGATACAACATAACATATCTACTTCGTATGAAGTCAAAACATGTTTATTTTATATTTGCAAAGAGACCGTGTAGCATTTATCAATATTTTCAAATATCAAATTTGAGCATGGTATATCTTTAAAGTGATTGCTTATCACTTTGGAGTGGACGGTACATTGCATTTATTACTGCCGTCCATGTCAAGCGAGGCCCATCATTTTCAATTTTGCACGTTTTGGCGTTGTTAAAAGTTTCATTTCAATTGTATCAAATTTTCTTATTTACACTATTTTTGAATACAAATGGTACTTATCTTTGCTTTAAAAAGATACATTTTTGTATTAACACATTTGCGATACCATATTAAAGGAACTCTACTGAGGCCCAAAGCCTGAAAATATGAACTTTGAATTCTTTACATAGATAAGCTGAGACACTGAAAGATATGCGAAAAATAGTAAAGAAATATACTCAGAAATACATTTAATGTTGTATTTTGGTGCTATTCTTATCCCGATTCTTATCATTTTTCACAATTAGATTTTTTTTGAAATGATTTGAAAAATGATCTGATTTCGCACCAACAGTTATTTGTCTAGACCTTCATCAAATGGGACATTAATCTCGAAAAACGAGTTTTGGTTCCGTCATGCCAAATAACCTCAGTATTGTCCCTTTTATTGACATTTACACTAAATAGCTTTATTCTTACATGATATATTGTGTGATAAAATTATACATGTATTGTATATATTTGTTATTGTAATGATTATAGAAATAGACATCCCTTTTTATTACCACGTTTTTATATATATACTAATTCTATGTTTCATTTTATTGATATTTCTTTCTACAAAAATAAAGGAATCTCGACTTTGATATACTCGTTTTGAGAACTATTTGTCTTTTAAATATCAACGTCATTGTCGTCATTTAATTCTTCATGTCGTGTATATCTTATGTTCCAAACCTGTTTAACTCATTCTCTACACAGTCATATCTAAATATTTCTATATTTGTGTAAAAAACAACAACAACCCCCCCCCCAAAAAAAAAGCAAAAAAAAAAAAATAAAAATAAAAAAAAAAAAAAAATAAATAAATAAAATAAAATGAAATAAATAGATAACTAAAAAAACAACAACTCAAAAGACCACAAAAAAACAACAAAGATGTTTACAATAGATTATACGAGCTCTAAATTCATCTTTTATCTCGAATGTTGCTTATACCTTAAGTTTCTTTTTGTGCTGCTTTTTCTTTAAATACATGCTTAGTATTTTCAAATTCAAATTTACACTAGCGATGCGTATGACAATCATTTAGCGTATTAGTTAGATTAGTTAGTAGGAGGAAAGAACCACCAATATAATAATTATTAATGTATTAAGTACTAGTTATCAGATATAATATGAAAATTCATTGATACTCTGAACAATCTTATATTAATTTTAAACCTGTATACAGATGGTATGTTTTAACATGGTAATATTTCAGTGTTTATCTTCTTGCTAAATCTGATAGATAAAAAATATAATTTTTATAACTTGATGAAAGTTCGTACTTTATTTACTTTTGCTTTACATTGAATGTTGGCAGAAACTTTCTAAAATATTGTTGGTTCATTAATGTTCTACCGCCTTCATGGTCGAGGGGTTAGAGTCGATGATTTCTAATCAAGTTATCTCTTTGGCGTGGGTTCTATCCCCGGGAGATGCTTTGGTAGTTTAGCACGGAGGAAGGTAGTCTAGTATTGGTGTAACTCTCCAGGAACGATGGTAAGGAAACTACCCGCTATATGACTGAAATACTGTTGGGAAAAGACATAAAATGAAACAAACAAACAAACAAACAAACAAACAAAACAAACAAACAAACTAGATTAAAACCAGTGTTTCGTATAAACTGACATATTGGAGAAATGTGACTGTAATAGTTTCCCGCCAAAATTTCATATAGTCGGCAACCGGACATTGTGCTCGTCTGAAAATGACCAATTGATCTGCTGATGGAGTGGTACAATAAACCTACAGACATGTTGCAGACTTCTTCATTTTGATATCATTAAACACTTTAACTCGGAGAAAGCACATGTTTGGTCATTCATTTTGAGTTTGGTTAATGACACGTACAGACTTTCTGTATTCCAGTTTACGTATCACCTGAGTCAGAAGTATGAGGGGATCACATAGAAAACGGAAAATATGTAGTTTTCTTAATAAACGAAATATTTGAGAGAGCATCTAAACTAAAACCTAATCTAAGGTATTTCTTTTCTTTTCCAAACCTGACTGAACCCTCAATGTCGATTAAAATTGCAAATTTTGTATGCATTTCTAATTTTATCATAACTCGTAATTCTATCAATATACACATTGAAGACAAAACCTGTGTAAAACACTGATTAGGGACATCATGTATATTTGGATGTTCTTTAATAAACATGTTCTTCCGCCAATAACCGGGATGAACAAAGCCTGTTTTTAGACTGTCTTTAATATAAATTCTCTTTACCAACACATTGAAAGTTTGTAGTTTGCTTAATCGTAGTCTACTTGGTATTATATTTACCTTTACAATTGATCTAAGACCTTACGCTTTAGTGGGCTTTAGGCAACCACAATCACACGAACCTTTTGTATAAATTGAGAAATTGCTGGAGCAATACACCAAAGCATAAATGCTTGATTATAAAAGAATGTACTAGGTCACCGGTCGCACATCCTGGTTATGATGATGAAAGATGATCGATGGAGCCAAATATATAGCACAATTACTCAGTAATATTTAGAAATGCATAATTACTCTCAGATATTCTAAACGCATCACGTGTTTATAAATTTCTAATGGATGCATGCCAAAATATAACCTATACTTCGTTACGATTTACTACTCAAATCATATGCTTGAAAAGTGTGATAAATCATAAATTCAATATATCATATTTGCAATGACCCATACTCTACAGGTACGAATAATTGTGTGAACAAAATAATTTTTGAAGTCTTCAAGCATAAACAAACAAATATTATACTAAGGTATTATAAATCATAAAACCGTAAAGATAACATAATGATAATTATAATAACTTCATCATCATAGACATTATACTTTATTTAGATGTTTAAAGTGTTCGGCGATACAGAACAGAATTATGGAGAGTTTTGTATCATTCAGAACTCGCAGGAAACTTGCAAGTTTGTACTTGTATTGTCTATAACGACGAGAACAAACGTTAAATGATAGAAGAATATTGTTAAGCGTTATATAAGCAACTGAAAGTATTTTTTTCACATTTAAACTGATGATCAATTGCAGGCCAGTTTGCTTGATTAAAACAAATAATTCCGATTTAGTCCAAGTTTTTTAAGTGAATTTTCCCATCGTATATACTTATACATGTATTTAGTTAAATTGTAACGGCGATTGATTTTTTTCTTTTTGTCTTATAAAATTTCATATTATTGATATTACAAAACTTTTGGTCTCACAGATAAAAGATTAGTAAAATGTATAGCTGAAAGAATGATTTAGAGTATGATTAAGACAACATCTTAAACATATCAATTATACTTGATAACATTCAAGAATAATATGTCAGTTTGAAACAATCAATAACTAACACTTAATATAATATATAGTTCAATACATATCATTTTAAAAATGGTGCATTGTCCCTTTTCTCTTGAACCATTTTAGTAATACATGACAAAGAGTAAAAAAGACGTACAGTACACGTTCGTAAATAAAGTGTTGTTTGTTTGTGTTATAAAAAAGTATCAGCCATAATTCTACTCTAATCAATTGAACAGATCAATGGATGAATTACATGTATTTTGTCATAGCTGTTGCGTGATCATCAAGTCATGTGTAACATATTGATTAGAAAAGCTAACTAAACTTTAAAACTTGTCAGCCAAACTAGTCTTATTTTATTTCTCATTTTTATGGCGTTGATTAACGATTGTAGCTTTTGTAAAGTATTTGTTTTTGTAATTGAGACTGGATACAATTTTTGGAGATTTATGATTTTATAATTAGAAGCAATGCCAGAAGATAACAATATGAAGGCGCTCTTAAAAGAGTTAGGAGAGACGAGTTCTCTTCATGGTATCCCAAAAATTGTTTCTTCGAGGCAAATCGTTGTTAAGGCATTATGGTGCTTGTTACTCCTCGGTAAGATATATATAATTTGTTTGCCAACAGAGCTATAGTATTACACTGGAAATATTTTGTTAATACTGGTATACAACAGATTATATTTCAACTTTTCATCCATTACATTTCGTGATGACAGAACCTATTTAAAAGTAAAAATGTTTGTCATGATATTATTTCACATTGTTTTTTGTGTAAAAAAATATTATTTTGCTTTTACATTTCTTGTAGGAACAATGACAGCCTTTGCTATTCAGCTCCATGGCTTATTTGAGGAGTTTTACTCCTTTCCAACGAAGACATCAGTTCGACTCGATTTCAAACCACTGGCGTTTCCGGCTCTAACGTTTTGTAACATGAATCCGATTAGATTCAGTCAAATCGCAAAATACGAAAATATTAAGAAGGTTATTGTAGGAAAAACTTTTGCAGACTACAAAGAATATTTTGACTATGAATCTTTGGAAAATTATGACGAAAACATTCTACAGGATCATTCTCACGCCCGAGACACGTTTCATGCATGGAAAAGTAGATTTCTGACCGAGTATAGAAAACTTTCGGCTGAAAACAAATCAAATGCAGGGCATCAGAGAAAAGACTTTATTCATAGTGCGGTGTTTTCAGGTAAATTTAACATTTTTTTTTAAATTTGTTTCTCATTTGGCAGATGATCACAATTTAACTTTGCATTTTGGTTAATAAAATTTGTTGGGATTGTTTCTGAGTAGCTGCATAAAATTATATTTACTAGCTTACATGTTTAGCCAATGGAATAAGTTTCCATACCTTCAGTTGGTCATCACTGTAAGGAGCGGCAGTTATGGAATTTTAGGTGAAGATATGAACCTTTTAGTTCACAACTTTAAGAATAAAATAGTCATACAAAATGAAATCAAACGGAAAAGATAGAACAATACGTAAAATCAAAATATATTTGTTTTAAAATTACCGCCCTTTTCTGTATATTATACAACGCAGACAGAGAATTTTCGATCCATACAAAATGTTAAAACACTTTAATAATTAAACTATATGTCATGTACAAAGAAGTAATATATGGTCAATAAGTCATTTTTCGAAAACTGAAACAAGATCTCAAAGGAGCAAATGGTTTTTGAAAGATGAAAACAATATCACTTTTAGGGCTTTATACATACGATTCATTATATTTGACACTGTAGGAAATGTTTCAAGTATGGCCATTTTCTGCATTTTTGAAAGGAATTTTGTTTGATCTTATTTAAATATTTATTTATATCACAAATATTCTCTAAAATAATGAGCACTTAACAATTCAGATATTCAATGGAAGTAAAAAATAATATAAAAGAAAAAAATTGTTTAAATTATTATTACATGTGTATTTGAAACACAAATTTACTTGGGACAAGAAAATGTCTATTTGCCAAGAAGTTAAAATGTGTACAAAAACCGGGAAATTATGAAATGAAAACTGTTCTCTTTTTTTACCAAACGTTTTTACCACTGAGCATCCTTTTCATATCATCAGTTGTCGTCAATTATGTAAAATTGTCATGTATTGTCTCAGACTATTAAACAACACTTTTGAATATTGATAAGACTATGATACCTATATATGACTAACGAAATTGTTTTCCTTTCGTTTCAATTATTAAATGAGTCAGCTTTTGGATTTTCTAGCCGTATAATAAAAGTAACTTTATTCCTCTTGAATTATTTGCTTTGATGTAATATTATACATGTATTCTAAAACTATCTCATTACCTAGTAAATACTCTTTCAGGTCACCGTATGAAACTGTCCATCTTTGAAGAAATGCAGTCACATTTGTATGGTAACTGTTATACACTCGACGAAGATAAATTAATTGCCAGAGGAAGCGGTCATAAGAATAGTTTGTATATAGTATTCAATATTGAAACTGCTGAATACTTGCATGACATTACCTCTGCATATGGAGTTCGCATGGTTTTACACGAACGAGGGACGTTTCCACTTCCAGAAGATGAAGGACTTACTCTTAGTTCGCAATTTGAAACCCATATTGGATTACGCCTTACACGAGTTGTGCGACTTGGTGGAAAATTTGGCGACTGTACAGATGGCCATGAGTTCAAAATGAAATACAAAATAGAATACACAGTTCCAATCTGTTACACTATTTGTGAGACTGAATATTTGCAGTCAATGTGTAACTGCAGGTCGGTGTCGTCATTAAATCTTGTCGGAAGTGAAACATTACGGTTTTGTGATTACGACGAGGACGAGGGTTGTGTTGAAAAAGTAATTGATAACATACACGACGGAAAACTCAAATGTGACTGCCCAGCACGTTGTAAAGAAAATGTGTTTTCAACAACATTTTCTAGTAGGCAATGGCCTCACAAGAAATACTTGAAAAGTGTCATTTTAGAAGAGATTTGCAACAGAAACACGAATATAACAAGCTCGAAACAGTATTCAGAAATGTGTAATAACTTAATTGCAGTTACGGATGAGGATTTAGATCAAATTGCGCCCAACTTCCTTGCTGTTTACATCTACTTCGAGGACCTGAATTATGAAACAATATCAGAAGAACCTTTGTACAACACAATTCGCTTCTTATCTGATATTGGTGGTGCTATGGGGTTGTATATGGGGGCGTCTGTACTTACTTACGTTGAACTTTTGCAAGTTGCTTTGGAAGTGTTTCTTCTTGTTAAGCGAAAAATGAAGCAAACATCACCAGTCAAAGACAAAATAGAAAATTAAATTAAATGCAACTAGAATAATGTTATCAATTTTTGGAAATTGATAAAAACATTTCATTTATTCGTCTGATTCATAAGAAAGGTTACACGACACGTATGATATGTATGGTTTTTTTATGTGAATTATGAAAAAGATAAAAGTAAATGATTGAAAATTTGAAAAGTTGAAAATAAAACAGTTTGAAGACTTTATAAAAAAAAGTGTACGTTTTGATGTGAATTATGAAAAAGATAAAAGTAAATGATTGAAAATTTGAAAAGTTTAAAATAAAACAGTTTGAAGACTTTATAAATCAAAGGGCTGCAAGCTCTGTGGTATTTTCTGATCTTTGCAATCTAAATCATAGTGACTATCTGTATGTATTTTCCTATATCAGTTTATTTTTATATACTATAATTCATCATACGCAGCGACTGCGTTAAGATTTTTTTCTATAACAGTTTGAGATTGATACATATGGATTTTTGCATGACTAGAGTTGCATCAAAAATCACACCCTAAGCGAGAGCGATACGAGCGCGATACCCCTGCACCACGGTGAAGTAATACGTAATATGTAGCCTGAATAAAAACAAATACATTGTAATTCTAAATTGAGAATTTCCATTTCGTGTTTGTAATCCTTATCAATTTCGAGGCATTTTGTTCACGATAAACCTGTTTAACACTGATAAAAATAATTTAGCGAAAATCTTCTAGCCAAAACAGTCCGACATGTATATATTCCACTACTCGGCAGTCAGATTTATTTGTGTACTACGCCCTGGAGTATTCAGTAATCGACATAGCTAAAAATAGCATTTTCATTGATTAAAATGATATTCATCCGCGAAATTTGTGATTGTAACCTCATATTTCTATTGACTAATCTGAACTTTCAATGCACTGTAATTCGTTAAATGCCTACATTAAAAAATTATTCTGTCTTTTAAATTGCTGGTTTTTAAGCAGTTTGAGTGAGAACTACTTTGCGTTGTTAGGTCTGTTAGGAAATTTTGTGTTAGACCGTGGATGTTAGCTATGTATTTACTGATCTTGCGATCAAAAATACAAAAAGTGTACTTGGAAGAAGTGTGGGTTAATATGTTTGCGTACTTTATCAAACTAGCACATATAGAACGATTTCTTAATACAATGTATATTAATGTCAAATCGTATATTCTGTCCTGTTTTAGTATGTGCGTGTGTCATTTATATTATTAATCTAATGTTTGTTTGAAGTAAAAATAAGCACTTTGCGTCCAATATGTAACACTTTATATGTAATATTATTCTTCTAATATATTATTCTTGCTCAACTCCCTATTGCGTTTGAACCTAATAATTTATTTATTAATTATAAAATGATGAAAATAATAAAAGCATGTTATCGTTTTTATCAGTTATAACTGACTGGAGTCGGATTGCAAACAGATCCACCCAACGGATTTATTAAGTAGTAGTCGTTCATTTTTTATACGTTTTTGTTATTATAATCACAGTTTGAATATCATCAAATATTTATTAAACACAAGAGAGTTGTAAAAAGAGTGTAAATGATAATTAGATTGAGGTTTCGTACAGAAATGCACGCCATTAAAGATACTATTAATAAAATTTAATTGGCTAATGTTCAAAACTTTAAAAAAAAATGCATTTCGCTTGAACATGATTTACAAAAAAAAAGAAAAAAAAAAAGAAAAATTAATAAATAACAATAAATCAAGAAATAAATAACGAATAGATTTTTTTTGTCTAGTTTCAAGGATAGATTTTATTACTTTCAGAGATTAAAGTATGTTTGTATGTACGTACATACGTACGTACGTACGTACGCACGCGCGCACGTGCATGTGTGCGTTCGTGCGTGCGTGTATGTATGTATGTATGTATTGAAGTATGTATGTATGTTTTCTATGCTTAATGAGGGTCTATCCGCCCGTCAAGGCACAAACAGCTTTCACTGTTGAGTACGGACCTAGGACGTGTCACCATTCATGATCTGAAAGGCCAAAATGGTCCGTGCAATTTACAAAGGGTAGTAGCGAAAGAAAATAATTGTGATCCGAGAAGATCACTGTACAACGATCAATGCGCACCTTAATGTACATTAACCACTGACACTAATAAGAAGGTTAGCCGTATAGAGCTGTTTGTGCCAGCAAAGGGTGCCGCCGTTCAAATCGTTTCTTCGTTCTAGGAGCTCACGCACCGTAGTATCTTTCCTCGTCATCCCTGTCACATTTTAGGGCCAATTTCTGCGGCTTTAGTTAGGACATCGACAGCTAAATCGTACAGTGCGATAGAAGCTTAACTTCCCGGCGACAAAGAAGTAATTTGGTTTCCAGGATCTTACCTATTTACAAAAAAAAAAACAGCGATCGGATCTTCACCAGCCACCATGTCCTTTGTGAAATTTTTTTACCCAAACTCCAAATTATCATTCATGCCTTCACTACGATCTACACGTGTTGATGCATTTATTACCAAAAAATGCAGTATATAATACATTGTACATTGCATTAAATCGTGAGTAATTTTTAACACATTTTAAAGACTGCCGGAGTCCTACCATAGCAATTTTTTGAGTGTCGCGTAGGAAAAAGTTTAATACTCTCGAAAATGTAAAACATTTAGGTTTTGACATGAACGTGAGACTGCGTGGTAACATGTAGACATAATATTATGTAGATATTTACTCACAAGTGATAATAGTTTTCATTCATATTAATTAAATTGAGTGACTGGTTTCATAATTTGGTAGAATAGTCGTTTTATGTTACATGGAATGGTTTGAAAAACACCTTGTTTAAACAATTTTAGATTTTTGTGGATTCCCTACAAATGTTACCTTACAACACTTTAAAACTGCACAATTTAAGCTTTCCAAAGTGCATAAATTACTAAAAGAATAATGCTATATCGAACATTAATATCTTTAGGGATTTTGTGGTATTACATTTTCCAGACTAGTTATTTGCGTCAACAAAAGGTTAGTCAAGTACATATTTCTATCAAAGTTATATCACGTGTTCCATTGAATAAGTTATAGATTTTTATCACCAAGGCGTGTGTTTGAATACAGCTTAAAATTATTAATTTGTTTCATTTCGTAATTGCTTTGAAATTATGAATTCAGAGGAGTGTTGTTATTGTAATTTCATATTCTGCTACCTAGCAATAATCATATAAATGTTTTATATAAATGTTATATGAAATACTATTTCTATGCACGACTTTCATCCAATCTTATCTATGGAGAAAATATAATGAGCTCTAACAAATTTGAACACAATGACAATTTGAGTTCACAATGACTCGAGAACTGTATTCTATTTATATACAGTATCAAGGAAGCATTTCAAACTAAGAGATGTTTTTTCTCTGTTAACGCCCATATCATGCATGATAAGCTTTATAACTGAGATGTTTATTGACTCGAAAATGTTAGGTCCGATAGTTATGAAATATATTATGAATTGCAGTTTGGATAGGAATAGCTATCCAAAAGCTAGGTACCTGCTCATTATGGTGTAATAAAGTTTGTCGGATTCTTCATGTCAGGCGTATCAAAATCTCTGAATTATATATTGAAAAGAATTATTCAATGTTAGAACTTGAAATTTTATATGAAAATAATATATATGTGAATAATACCTTCATAACAATTTTTCATCTTTTTTTTAGATATCAAAATTATTTATCCGGGTCATCACTCACATCCAATATATGACAAGGGTTATTATTCTTGAATATATATTTAACAAGAGGGCCATGATGGCCCTAGATCGCTCACCTGAATTATCAAACTCATCCAAACAATTACCTAGACAAGCATTCTGACCAAGTCTCATGACAGGTGAGTCAAAAATGTGACCACTACAGTGTTAACAAGGATTATCCATATTTGAGCAGTGCGACCTAGTTTTTTACCCAGGTGACACATATTCAAACTTGACCTAGAAATCATCAAAACAAACTTTCAGACCAATTTCCAGGATACTTGGATCAAAACAGTAGCAACTAGAGTGTTAACAAGATTTTTCTATTTTTAGCTCCGGTGACCTAGTTTCACATGCGATTTCGAACTAATCCAAGCAATTACCTAGACAAGCATCCTGACCAAGTTTGATGATAATCGAGTCGAAAATGTGACCACTAGAATGTTAACAAGGTTTTTCCATATTTGGGCGGTGTGACTAGTTTTTCATCCAAGATGACCCATGTTTGATCTTGACTTAGAAATCATCAAAAAAAACTTTCAGACCAATTAACAGAATATTTGGATCACAACAGTAGCCACTAGAGTGTTAACAAGATTTTTCTATTTTTAGCTCATGTGACCTAGTTTTTCATCCGAGATGTCCCATGTTCGATTTATTCCAAGCAATGACCTATTCAAGTTTCCTGACCAAGTTTGATGACAATTGAGTCAAAATTGTGACCACTAGAGTGTTAACAAGGTTTTTCTATTTTTAGCTCCTGTGACCTAGTTTTTCATCCGAGATGACCCATGTTCGAACTCATCCGAGCTATCACCTAGACAAGCATCTTGATCAAGTTTGATGATGATTGATGCAAAAATGTGACCGCTAAAGTGTGTGTGTGTGTGTGTGTGTTTGGGTTTGTTTACCCTCGCCACCGGAAAGAGACCATATGGGCGAGCATATACTTCATTTATAACCTTTTTAAAAAAGGGGGAGCTGATGTTTAATTACTTATTGTTATATCCGTACATGTGTTTATGTGCATACCATATCCCCCATGACAGGGTAGTCACTACGTACAACCTCTGCCATGGGAGGAAGATGGGGCAATCCCATACTAAGATTAAGAATTCTAAAATTAAATTATTAAAAAGCACTTATTTTAAAATTGGCCAAGACGTTTATAGAAGTTACCGTCTTTTATAACAGGTCTATCTAATATTTAGTATAACTAAAATATTTTAAAATATTACCTATATTGTAGAGTTCGCAGACTTGCGAAGAAGGCATGTCAGGAACGTTTTCTGACCAATTCAATGTGGGCTGTCTATTATTTATATTGGTTTCTATTTACATGTTATAAACCGTATACATTGGGATGCATATTATTAATTACATGTTTGTAATTAGCAGAGTTTGTTTTAAAATTTTGTAAGTTTTACCGAACACCCGCTTTATAAAGTTAATTTTGATTGGTTTAGAGAGGATTGCCTCCTTTGTTCTCATTGGCCGAAAATTCTCTGTTTACAAAATAAGGAGGTCAATCCGGTTTTGTGATAATTTGCAAATTTTCTTAATTTTCGGATTGACCT